ACTCAGTGTTTCCAGGCAAGCCTTCCTACTACATCATTGACTCAGTGTTTCCAGGCAAGTCTGCCTACTACATCATTGACTCAGTGTTTCCAGGCAAGCCTTCCTACTACATCATTGACTCAGTGTTTCCAGGCAAGTCTGCCTACTACATCATTGACTCAGTGTTTCCAGGCAAGTCTGCCTACTACATCATTGACTCAGTGTTTCCAGGCAAGTCTGCCTACTACATCATTGACTCAGTGTTTTCCAGCAAGTCTGCCAACTACATCATTAAACTCAGTGTTTCCAGGCAAGTCTGCCTACTACATCATTGACTAAAGTGTTTCCAGGCAAGCCCTGCCAACTACATCATTGAATCAGTGTTTCCAGGCAAGTCTGCCTACTACATCATTGACTCAATGTTTCCAGGCAAGCCTTCCTACTACATCATTGACTCAGTGTTTCCAGGCAAGTCTGCCTACTACATCATTGACTCAGTGTTTCCAGGCAAGTCCTGCCTACTAAAATCATTGACTAAAGTGTTTCCAGGCAAGTCTCCTACTACATCATTGACTCAGTGTTTCCAGGCAAGTCTGCCTACTACATCATTGACTCAGTGTTTCCAGGCAAGCCTCCTACTACATCATTGACTCAGTGTTTCAGGCAAGCCTTCCTACTACATCATTGACTCAGTTTTTTCAGGCAAGTCTTCCTACTACATCATTGACTCATTTTCCAGACAAGCCTGCCTACTACATCATTGACTCAGTGTTTTCAGGCAAGCCTTCCTACTACATCATTGACTCAGTTTTCCAGGCAAGTCTGCCTACTACAATCATTGACTCAGTGTTTCCAGGCAAGCCTTCCTACTACATCATTGACTCAGTGTTTCCAGGCAAGTCTGCCTACTACATCATTGAATCAGTGTTTCCAGGCAAGTCTGCCTACTACATCATTGACTCAATGTTTCCAGGCAAGCCTTCCTACTACATCATTGACTCAGTGTTTTCAGGCAAGTCTGCCTACTACATCATTGACTCAATGTTTCCAGGCAAGCCTTCCTACTACATCATTGACTCAGTGTTTCCAGGCAAGTCTGCCTACTACATCATTGACTCAGTGTTTCCAGGCAAGTCTGCCTACTACATCATTGACTCAGTGTTTCCAGGCAAGTCTGCCTACTACATCATTGACTCAGTGTTTCCAGGCAAGTCTGCCTACTACATCATTGACTCAGTGTTTCCAGACAAGTCTGCCTACTACATCATTGACTCAGTGTTTCCAGGCAAGTCTGCCTACTGCATCATTGACTCAGTGTTTCCAGACAAGTCTGCCTACTACATCATTGACTCAGTGTTTCCAGACAAGTCTGCCTACTACATCATTGACTCAGTGTTTCCGGGCAAGTCTGCCTACTACATCATTGACTCAGTGTTTCCAGGCAAGTCTGCCTACTACATCATTGACTCAGTGTTTCCAGGCAAGTCTGCCTACTACATCATTGACTCAGTGTTTCCAGGCAAGTCTGCCTACTACATCATTGACTCAGTGTTTCCAGGCAAGTCTGCCTACTACATCATTGACTCAGTGTTTCCAGACAAGTCTGCCTACTACATCATTGACTCAGTGTTTCCAGCAAGTCTGCCTACACATCATTGACTCAGTGTTTCCAGACAAGTCTGCCTACTACATCATTGACTCATTTGTTTCCAGACAAGTCTGCCTACTACATCATTGACTCAGTGTTTCCAGACAAGTCTGCCTACTACATCATTGATCATCAGCCCACACTTTGACTCAGTGTTTCCAGACAAGTCTGCCTACTACATCATTGACTCAGTGTTTCCAGGCAAGTCTGCCTACTACATCATTGACTCAGTGTTTCCAGGCAAGTCTGCCTACTACATCATTGACTCAGTGTTTCCAGGCAAGTCTGCCTACTAAAATCATTGACTCAGTGTTTCCAGGCAAGTCTGCCTACTACATCATTGACTAAGTGTTTCCAGGCAAGTCTGCCTACTACATCATTGACTCAGTGTTTCCAGGCAAGTCTGCCTACTACATCATTGACTCAGTGTTTCCAGGCAAGTCTGCCTACTGCATCATTGACTCAGTGTTTCCAGACAAGTCTGCCTACTGCATCATTGACTCAGTGTTTCCAGACAAGTCTGCCTACTACATCATTGACTCAGTGTTTCCAGGCAAGTCTGCCTACTACATCATTGACTCAGTGTTTCCAGACAAGTCTGCCTACTACATCATTGACTCAGTGTTTCCAGACAAGTCTGCCTACTACATCATTGACTCAGTGTTTCCAGACAAGTCTGCCTACTACATCATTGACTCAGTGTTTCCAGACAAGTCTGCCTACTACATCATTGACTCAGTGTTTCCAGACAAGTCTGCCTACTACATCATTGACTCAGTGTTTCCAGACAAGTCTGCCTACTACATCATTGACTCATGTTTCCAGGCAAGTCTGCCTACTACATCATTGACTCAGTGTTTCCAGGCAAGTCTGCCTACTACATCATTGACTCAGTGTTTCCAGGCAAGTCTGCCTACTACATCATTGACTAAGTGTTTCCAGCAAGTCTGCCTACTACATCATTGACTAAGTGTTTCCAGGCAAGTCTGCCTACTACATCATTGACTCAGTGTTTCCAGGCAAGTCTGCCTACTACATCATTGACTCAGTGTTTCCAGGCAAGTCTGCCTACTACATCATTGACTCAGTGTTTCCAGACAAGTCTGCCTACTACATCATTGACTCAGTGTTTCCCAAGTGCCTATACATCATTGAAGTGGCATCTGCCTACTACATCATTGACTCAGTGTTTCCAGGCAAGTCTGCCTACTACATCATTGACTCAGTGTTTCCAGACAAGTCTGCCTACTACATCATTGACTCAGTGTTTCCAGACAAGTCTGCCTACTACATCATTGACTCAGTGTTTCCAGACAAGTCTGCCTACTACATCATTGACTCAGTGTTTCCAGACAAGTCTGCCTACTACATCATTGACTCAGTGTTTCCAGGCAAGTCTGCCTACTACATCATTGACTCAGTGTTTCCAGGCAAGTCTGCCTACTACATCATTGACTCAGTGTTTCCAGGCAAGTCTGCCTACTACATCATTGACTCAATGTTTCCAGGCAAGTCTGCCTACTACATCATTGACTCAGTGTTTCCAGGCAAGCCTTCCTACTACATCATTGACTCAGTGTTTCCAGGCAAGCCTTCCTACTACATCATTGACTCAGTGTTTCTCTTCTTTGATTATTTTAAGTATGAAATATAGAATTGTCATTATAGAAGTGTCATTTTCTACATTTTACTTTGTTTTTAGTGTTATATTTGTTTCATTATTATTTTTTCATTCTAGCTAATTTATAATAATTCATGTTAATTACTAAACCAGGGGGAGTACCAATAAACCCCTGACTGTCTTCAAGTTGGCGCTGGACAGGCACCTAAAGTCAGAACCTGACCAGTCGGGTTGTGGTTCGTACGATAGATTACGTGCGGCCAACAGTAACAGCCTGATAAATTAGACACATGTGCATCTCTTGGGTATCTTTATTGAGGAAACGTTTCGCCACACAGTGGCTTCATCAGTCCATACACAGAAGAAGCTAGAAGAACAGGAGGAGAATGAGGTAATCAGTCCCTCAGCCTTGAGTCGATGTGGTCAGTCCATCAATCTTGAATAGAATACTGTATATGAGCGGAGAAGCAGCTTATAAACCTCAGCCTCAAGGCTGAGGGACTGATTACCTCATTCTCCTCCTGTTCTTCTAGCTTCTCCTGTGTATGGACTGATGAAGCCACTGTGTGGCGAAACGTTTCCTCAATAAAGATACCCAAGAGATGCACATGTGTCTAATTTATCAACATGTCGGTTCTGTGAACCATTCATCTACAAACCTGTCAGACACTGCAACTTCTTGGGATCTTAATACTTGGGAATTCTTCGCTTGCCTAACCCTTGAGCACGATCTACTTTCACATTGGGCAAATGTGACACCACCTACGTCTGCTGCACCTCTCCTGCCTACGGTTTACAAGCTGCTTCTCCGCTCATATGCCGTATTTTATTCAAGATTGATGGACTGACCACATTGACTCAAGGCTGAGGGACTGATTACCTCATTCTCCTCCTGTTCTTCTAGCTTCTCCTGTGTATGGACTGATGAAGACACTGTGTGGCGAAACGTTATCAACGTGTCGGTTCTGTGAACCGTTCATCTACAGTAACAGCCTGGTTGATCAGGCTCTGATCCACCATGACACCTGGTCACAGATCTGGCCGCGGGGCGTTGACCCCCTGGAACTCTCTCCAGGTATACTCCAGATAAACCCATATGAGTCATTCAGTGCAAGACGTGGTGGCGGCTTCATCCTCCGTCTACTAAGAGTGAGACAGACTCTCTCTTCCTATTTCTACTCATACATATACAAGTTTTTTAGTAATTTTCCTAAGAGGTAACCAGTTCCCTGACAATCCAAAACAGGATTTTAACCTCTGTTGGGCATAAAATTCAGGCAGGATGTTTGGATTTTTAGAAATTTGTTTAACATAAGCACCAATGTGGGGGTCCGATGGCATCTCCGCGACTCTAGACATAATATATGAATATATGAGGGTTGTAATATTTTTCGTAGTGAAATAAAAGGAATATTATCCGAATCATTAACACAGTGTAATGTGCACTGTAATTCTCACCATCTTCAGACATGAATCAAAAGTTAAACAAATTCTAGAGGTTGAAATGTTATTGATTTGGAACACATACACAAAAAAATAGGTTAAGTAATGAGGTCGTCTAGGAGGAAAGAGACCATCTACTGACTTATCTGAATTGATGGGGTCGTCTTGGAAGCACCTGGAATAGGAGGAGGAGGAGGATGTGGGAGACCTGGGAGCGCCAGAGCACTTAAAGTTAAGTGCTCTGAACTTATTTGAGTTACCGTGAGAGAAGAAGGGGAGGTGGAGGAAGGACAGCAGCAGAAAACTTACCTGAGGTATTAGGGTCATCTTGAAGGGACTGTGAAGAGGAGGAAGTGGTGGAGGTATGGAGGAGGAGACAGGAGAGAGTCGCCACCAACACCATCAGGTGAGATTGGTCACACCGCCACGTCACCACCATCTGCAAAACATGAAAAAAATATAAATTTCAACCAGTTAGCACCAACGTAGAGGCGACGGTGACGTGAGGCTTCTTAGAGTGCTGGAGCGGGGAAGATAACTGTGGAATTATTTTCAACTTTAATTCTGCATTTTCTAACCATAGACAACAACTGTGGTCTAGAGTTGATACATAAATTGTATTATGTCAAACCATCTTTGGATTTATGGTCTTCTTAGCATCGCTGTCAATTTTGGAAAACTACGCTCTCACGCCTTCGCTCATGAGTATCTCATGGGGAAGCACCCAGCGCAGCTCTTTGAGAATTGTGAAGCTCTGGTGTCAGTTCATCGTCAGCTAATAAGATGTCCTGTTTATCAGCAGATACGCAGGATTTGCCTCCGACATCGTCACCGCTGTAACGCATTTCCTTAAACTGACTTCATCGACATCTCCGTCTTGGACGCAGACTCCTTCTTTGACTTTGTTAGTGACTGCTTTTTTACACCAACTTTGATTATATTTTCCATTTAAAGCTCCTCACTACCCTTACTGAATTTACATCTTTCAAACTCGCTATTTTCTGATCGTCACATATATAATATTTAGCACATCCTGCCCTGCAGCATTGTATGTCCCTTGTGGGTTTAGCGTCATTATAATAATAATAATAATTTTGCATTTTCTAAATAAATATTCGTATTCAAAACGTATAAAATAATTATTTTGTACGTATTTCATTGATTACAAAGTATGAGATATTTGTGCTTACTTTAAATAACAGTTACATACCTCAGAAATAAAGATTATAAATAAAAGTTTCAACTTGCCTGATCATCACAATTAGTCTTAGTGGTATTTGGGTTACAATCACCGGAAAAACAACTATGAACAATATAGTATATGTAATTGAAACTAAGAGTAAAAATGTGTGTATATGCATTAATGACCATAGCGTAGTAATACATTCTAAACTAACAACCCACCGAACTAGAGTAAAAAAAAAAAAAACCACAGTATTCTGTGGCCATCACTCACTAGAGATAATTGTTCCAAGACATCATCTTCTTATAATTAATTCTGATAGGTTGAAGAAGAAGTTTGAAGCCAATTATCAGATGAAGACGGAACACAATCTTCTTAATCATTCATCCCCATTAATTTTTGTCCTTTTCTCTGTCTTGCCTTAAAGTTATCTGTAATATTTTTTTTCTCCCAGTAACCTTCTCCACACTCTCTCTCACTTGTGTTTATCAAGCTCCTGTGTTTACATTTAAAACTAATAAAGCGCAATCCATCATTGAAATACAGTTTTATGGACATTTTTTTTAGCTGTGTTCACTTCATTCAATATTTTTTTTCATTCTGGACGAACTCTTCACAAGCACTGTAATTATTCCGCAGTATTTCTCACAAACATGATGGGACGTTCCTTAATGTTGGTGAGGGGCTCTTGATGTTGGTGAGGGGATCTTGATGTTGGTGAGGGGATCTTGATGTTGGTGAGGGACTATTCACGTTGGTGAGGGACTATTCTTGTTGGTGAGAGGTTCTTGATGTTGGTGAGAGACTATTCATGTTGTTCAAGGGCCCTTCATGTTGCTGAGGGGTTCTTAATGTTGATGAGGGGCTCTTGATGTTAGTGAGGGGCTCTTGATGTTGGTGAGGGGCTTTCCATTTTGGTGAGGGACTATTCACGTTGGAGGGACTATTCATGTTGGTGAGGGGTTCTTAATGTTCATGATGGGCTCTTGATGTTGGTGAGGAACTATTCGTGTTGGTGAAGGGCTCTTCATGTTGGTGAGGGGTTCTTAATGTTGATGAGGGGCTCTTGATGTTGGTGAGGGACTCTTGATGCTGGTGAGGAGCTCTTGATGTTGATGAGGGACTATTCATGTTGTGAGGGGTTCTTAATGTTGATGACGGGCTCTTGATGTTGGTGAGGGACTATTCATGTTGGTGAGGGGATCTTCATGTTATTGAGGGGCTCTTGATGTTGGTAAAAAGCTCCTGATATTATTGAGGGGCTCTTGATGTTGATGAGGGACTATTCATGTTGGTGAGGGGTTCTTAATGTTGATGACGGGCCCATGATGTTGGTGAGATACTATTCATGTTGGTGAGGGGCTCTTGATGTTGTGAGGGGCTCTTGATGTTGGTGAGGGACTATTCACGTTGGTGAGGGGTCTAATCATGTTAGTGAGGGGTTCTTAATGTTGATGACGGGGTCTTGATGATGGTGAGATACTATTCACGTTGGTGAGGGGCTCTTGATGTTGGTGAGGGACTATTCAAGTTGGTGAGGGGTTCTAATGCTGATGAGGGGCTCTTGATGTTGGTGAGGGGCTCTTGATGCTGGTGAGGTGCTTTTCATTTTGGTGAAGGACAATTCATGTTGGTGAGAGGTTCTTAATGTTGATGAGGGGCTCTTGATGTTAGTGAGGGACTACTCACGTTGGTGAGGGGTTCTTAATGTTCATGAGGGGCTCTTCATGTTGGTGAGGGACTCTTGATGCTGTTGAGAGAATTTTCATGTTGGTGAGGGGCTCTTGATGTTGGTGAGGGGCTCTTGATGTTGATGAGGGACTATTCCTGTTGGTGAAGGGCTCTTCATGTTGGTGAGCGGTTCTAAATGTTGATGAGGGGCTCTTGATGCTGGTGAGGGACTCTTGATGCTGGTGAGGAGCTCTTCATGTTGATGAGGGACTATTCATGTTGGTGAGGGACTCTTGATGTTGGTGAGGGGCTCTTGATGTTGGTGAGGGACTATTCATGTTGGTGAGGGGTTCTTAATGTTGATGAGGGGCTCTTGATGATGGTAAGAAGCTCCTGGTATTAGTGAGGGGCTCTTGATGTTGATGAGGGACTATTCATGTTGGTGAGGGGTTCTTAATGTTGATGACGGGCTCTTGATGTTGGTGAGATACTATTCATGTTGGTGAGGGGTTCTATGTTGAGAGGGTTTGATGATGGTGGCTGGGGTTTGATGTTGGTGAGGGACTATTCATGTTGGTGAGGGTCTTATGTTGAGGGGGTCTTGAGTGTGATCTATGTTGGTGAAGGGCTCTTGATGTTGGTGAGGGGCTCTTGATGATGATGATGGACTCTTGATGTTGGTGAGGGGCTCTTGATGTTGGTGAGAGACTATTCACTTTGGTGAGAGTCTATTCATGTTGGTGAGGGGTTCTTAATGTTGATGAGGGGCTCTGGATGTTGATGAGAAGCTCCTGCTATTAATGAGGGGCTCTTGATGTTGGTGAGGGACTATTAATGTTGGTGAGGGGTTCTTAATGTTGATGACGGGCTCTTGATGTTGGTGAGATACTATTCATGTTGGTGAAGGGCTCTTGATGATGGTGAGGGAATATTGACGTTGGGGAGGGTCTATTCATGTTGGTGAGGGGATCTTAATGTTGATGAGGGGCTCTTGATGTTGATGAGAGGCTTTTCATGTTGGTGAGGGACTATTCACGTTGGTGAGGGGTTCTTAATGTTGATGACGGGCTCTTGACGTTGGTGAGGGACTCTTGATGTCGGTGAGCGACATTTCATGTTGGAGAGGTAGTATTCATGTTGGTGAAGGGTTCTTAATGTTGATGAGGGGCTCTTGATGTTGGCGAGGGACTCTTGATGCTGGTGAGGGACTTTTCATGGTGAGGGGCTCCTGATGTTGGTGAGCGGCTCTTGATGTTAGTGAGGGGCTCTTGATGTTGATGAGGGACTATTCATGTTGGCGAGGGACTATTCCTGTTGGTGAGGGGTCCTTAATGTTGATGAGATGCACTTGACGCTGGTGAGGGGCTCTTGATGTTGATGAGGGGCTCTTTATGTTGGTGAGTGACATTTCATGTTGGTGATGGGCTCTTGATGTTGGTGAGGAGTTCTTGATGTTGCTGAGGGGTTCTTGATGTTGGTGAGGGGCTCTTGATGTTGGTGAGGGACTATTCATGTTGGTGAGGGACTATTCATGTTGGTGAGGGGTTCTTGATGTTGATGAGTGGCTCTTGATGTTGGTGAGGGACTCTTGATGCTGGTGAGGGACTATTCATTTTGGTGAAAGGTCCATAATGTTGGTGAGGGGCTCTTGATGTTAGTGAGGGACTATTCATGTTGGAGAAGATTTCTTGATGTTGGTGAGGGACTATTCATGTTGGTGAGAGGTTCTTGATGTTGGTGAGGGACTATTCATGTTGGTGAGAGGTTCTTGATGTTGGTGAGGGACTATTCATGTTGGTGAGAGGTTCTTGATGATGGTGAGGGACTATTCATGTTGGTGAAGGGCTCTTCATGTTGCTGAGGGGTTCTTAATGTTGATGAGGGGCTCTTGATGTTGGTGAAGGTCTATTCACGTTAGTGAGGGGTTCTTAATGTTGATGAGGGGCTCTTGATGTTGGTGAGGGACTCTTGATGCTGGTGAGGGACTTTTCATGTTGGTGACGGGCTCTTGATGTTGGTGAGCGGCTCTTTGTGTTGGTGACGGGCTCTTGATGTTGATGAAAGGCTCTTGATGCTGATGAGGGACTATTCCTGTTGGTGAGGGGTCTTTAATGTTGATGAGAGGCACTTGACTTTGGTGAGGGGCTGTTGATGTTGTTGAGGGACTATTCCTGTTGGTGAAGGGCTCTTGATGTTGGTGAAAGGTTCTTAATGTTGATGAGGGGCTCTTGATGTTGGTGAGCGGCTCTTGATGTTGGTGAGCGGCTCTTGATGTTGGTGAGGGGCTTTTCATTTTGGTGAGGGATTATTCCTGTTGGTGAAGGGCTCTTGATGTTGGTGAGAGGGTTCTTAATGTTGATGAGGGGCTCTTGATGTTGGTGAGGGACTCTTGATGCTGGTGAGGAGCGCTTGATGTTGGTGAGAAGTTCCTGATATTGGTGAGGGGCTCTTGATGTTGGTGAGGGACTATTCATGTTGGTGACGGGTTCTTAATGTTGATGAGGGGCTCTTGATGTTTGTGAGGAACTTTTGATGCTGGTGAGAAGCTTCTGATATTGGTGAGGGGCTCTTGATTTTGGAG